AATTATGTGTCAATGTTCAGAGGGTCAAGTGAAAAAATTATTTAAGGGAACCCCCACCCCCCCATTCATGGTTTTAATTTTTCAAGATTTTCAATGGGCTGGTAAATGAATACAAATGCTTGTTAAGGTTTGTAATTTTACACATATATAATTGAAGATTGAAAAGAGAAGAAAAATAATTTACAAAAGATTTTTGTAATTGTTTTGTTGTTGTTTTTTGTAATTAAAGAAAACTACTTATTTTTGATGGCGGGCATGATAACTCCTCACTGGAACATCGGAATCCGAAAATTCCAACGGTGTTAGAAAGAGTACATGTCTGGCTCTCGTATGAACTAGGATTATTGACTTCGCTCTAAAATTAACAAAATGGCGGACCTTTGAAAAAATATTTTTGAAAATCGCCGATTTTTGACGAAAAACCAAGTTAAAAAATAAGGAAGATCTTCACCGATTGGCTTTATCCTAGTTCATACGATAGCTTTACACTCACAGAGAAACGTGTACAAATTTGGAATCGATTAGGTTATTAGTTTTTGAGTTATTGTACCCGCCATTCACAAAAGAGAAAAACGCGTTTACAGTTTGAGAAGCCCTTTAACCGGCTAAATCTTCAAGAGTTCTTGAGATTTTTACTTGAAATTTTGCAGAGACAATCTTTAATCAGTGTAGATTCGAATTATATCAACAAAAATTTTGACCCCGAGAATGGGGGGTCCCCTTAATTCGAAAATATGACAGGGTAAGAAAGAGGAGCAAATATCCGAAATATTGCTCAGGCTCGGAATATAGATCCGCAGAAAGTTTTGTAGGGTATCATATGATCTACATTCTAATACTTACGTATGTATGTATTTGACAAACGACTAAAAAATGGATAATACCCTGTCGGTTTGCATTGCTCAATTCCTTTCATCCATCTGCAGTTATTTCCTGTAAAACAAAACTGTGTTTGTGTGTGTGAATATGACTGGTAATATCCATTTGAATACCTCTTTTTGCAGTTAACATTACGTACGTTATGTTTATATTGATTTTGTTTTTGAAAATAAATTATAGGAATATATGTTGGGTGTGAACTTAAGCATTTAGTTGGTGCATAGTCATTATTTGGCACTGTGGGCACGAACATAATTCACAATTTATATTTGAACCGCTAAAGTTTTTATACCCTCCATCATGAGGATGATAATAAAAATATCTAGGAGAAAACTCCTATAGTAGACCTTGAACACACCGAAAAACATGTGAGAAACTTGGGTTGAAACCCTGTCGAACATACTGACTTGGGTCAATATTAATAATTTTTAGTGCAGAGATGTGGTGATACTATTATGACAACGCAAAATACCAAAATACAGCCTACTTGATTCAACAATGTGTCAAAATGTCAAAATATTTGAGGGAAACATATTCTGGAAGCTACCCTTAAACTTGGAACAACATTTTAAGTACAGAAATGTACTATACAATGAGAGCCCCAAATACCAACTTACAGCCACGTTGGTAAAAAAAGTGTCCAAAATACTGAATATTGGGTGTACCGTTATATGGGGAGAACCCTGAAACATGGGGCAATATTAATTATTTTCGGTTGAAACCCGTGTCCAAAACACCGAATACTAGGGAATACCTATATATATAGGGACAATACCGAAACTTGGGTCAATATTAATTTTTGGTATGGAGGTGTGCTATACAATGAGAACCTAAAATACAAAATTACAGCCTAGTTCGTTGGAAAACGTGTCCAAAATCCCCAATATACTGAATACTGGGGGTACTGTCATATGGGGGCTACACCATTTACAATACCCAAACCCTAGGCGTACTAGCAATGTCTGTGCAAAATTTCAGAGCTCTATCTTAAATATTGCGATCTATATCGTGATGTCAACAAACGGACAGACAGAAAGACGGACAATCTCCGGTGAATGTTTCGAAGTGTTGTAAACGGAATGACAAATTTAAAATTCACTCAACATGGGACGTTACCTCAATATATCTATATCAAAACATAGACCAGTTTGAAAAACCGCATATAGGGATAACCACTATATGGGGACTATATATATTCATTCTCGAACCTTACGTTCCATTTTTATTCCCTTCACCACAATGTGGTACAGGGTATTATGTCTTTGTGCATATGTTTGTAACAGACAAAAATAATCGAGATAGACCCATGGTTACTTTTGAGAATAAGCATAGAATCACTTTCTGAGTCGATTTATGCATGTCCATCCGTCCGTCTGTCTGTCCATGTTAAATTGTCGCATTATTATCGCATTTATTATCCGAATTGGATGAAATTTGGCACAAGTAATTTATTTGGCCCAAGGACGAACCCTATTGAAATTGGGAAAATCGGTTCAGTTTTATATATAGCTCCTATATATATTTTCGTCCGATTTAAGGTAAATTGTGTCACCAAATTCCCTTAATATCATTCAATTTGCACGAAATTTGGCACGGCGTAATGAATTAAGTCTAGAATGATGTGTGCCAAGTTTCGTGAAAATCGGTTCAGATTTAGATAAAGCTCCCATATATATTTTCGACCGATTTAAGGTAAATGGTGTACCAAAGTCCCTTAGTATCATTCGATTTGCACGAAATTTGGCGCAGCGTAATGAATTCGGTATAGAATGATGTGTGCTAAGTTTCGTGAAAATCGGTTCAGATTTAGATAAAACTCCCATATATTTCGACCGATTTAAGGTCAATGGTGTACCAAAGTCCCTTAGTATCATTCGATTTGCACGAAATTTAGCGCAGAGTAATGGATTAGGTATATAATGATGTGTGCTAAGTTTCGTGAAAATCGGTTCAGATTTAGATAAAGCTCACGTATATATTTTCGTCCTATTTTATATGAATGGTGCACCAAAGTCCCTATACATCTTTCGATTTTTCGATTTAGATATAGCTCCCACATATAGATTATATTTTTAACAACGCGGAGTACAAAATAGCGTGTATCAATTTTGCTATACATCGTTTTCCATAAATTTTCCCCATATTACGCAGACGGATCTAAATCTGCTCGAATGAAATTATAGTTAGAATAGGTTGGAGAAAGAGGGAACATAGATATGCAATTGTTAGGATACATATGTACAATATATCCCAAATGGTGAAGGGTATCATATAGTCTGCCCAGTCCAACTTTACTACTTTCCTTACTGGTTTTTATCTCGATATACTCTGCAGGTATGATTGCAAAAGAGTCTTACTTTGGTGGATGGAATAAAAAGGGGGTTATATGGGGACTATCCCTAAAAAGGGGCGAAAACTAATAATTTTTGGTAGGGAGATTTGCTGCCATATACGACTAAATAATACCAAATTACAGCGAATTAGGTTGAAAAACGCCCTCAAGAAACCCAAGCTACCGAAAATTAGAGGGTACCCTTATTGGAGGGCTATTTATAATTTTTTGTGGAGGAATTTGCTATCTAATAAAAACTCACTGTACAATTACAGCCAACTCAGTAAAATACGCTGAAAATCCCCCAAAAATGGGGGCTACTCTTATATAGGAACGATGCCTAAATATAGCCCACCTTCGACAAAAGCAGACAAAAGACTAAAAAAAGGCTAAATTTTGGCCATCTATCTCAATTCGTTTAGATGCTATATTGTCATAGAATTTTACGCTGATCAGAAATTTATATATATATATATATACTTTATAGGGTCGGAAATGATTATTTCGATGAGTTACAAAAGGAAAAAAAAATTAATGTATCATCCTGGGGGTATAAAAATATCAAGTATAATTGTCGTTATGACCGGTCGAAATCCAAGAATCTTCATAAACCTTTTATGTTAACAAATTTCAGGATTAAGGAACAAGGGCGAAAATTAAATACCTAAAATCCATCACATGCGTTCTGCAGTGTAATTTCACAGAAGCCTCTGTCTAAATTGCATACCACTACAACTGCAATATGTGTCCCTCTAAGAAAAAAATGTCCAACGTCGCGGTATGAAACCAAGTAACAAATGACATATGGTAATTTTTTGGGAAAATAGTTTATAGTTATGCTGTGGCCTACACACACGAATACACATATGTATGTGCACAATATAAATGTGGATTATTACGTTTGCCCCCCGCCTCCACCAATGAAATATTTGCATGACAAATGTTTGGTCATGTCCTGACTATAAATGTTTGTAAGGATAAGAAGTTGTAGGAGTAAAAAAAACAAGCACACATACACATTCTTCAAAATGGGTCAAGGAATATGCCACCACTGAATGAGCGGGGAAGAAATGCACTAACAAAATATAGCAAGAAAAATATTTCTGCATAACAATTGAATATGTCAACATAGCTGTTTGTGGAAAAATTCTCCGTAATCAGACAGACAGGGAGACAGCTAAGCTATGTTCAACAAGGAATCTTGAGTGCAATAATCGGTAAAGCGTGACAAATATGTGGCAGGATGAAGGAGGACATTATGGAAATTGGAAGGGATACACATTTACGGCGGATGTCACACCTTGGATGGTCCAAAATGAGGATTTTAAATTTTAAGCGATATTTTTTATATATACCCAAAATTACTTCAGTCACATCGTTTCGAAAACATGCCTAGAACCATTGCCAAATGAGTTGCGATCTTTGTATGGAGACAATCTCAAAATATTAACTCCAAATTTGTTTTCCCATGAATAGCCCAGAAAGTCAAATTAAAGCGGTTGGAAAATGCGCTTAGGTCCAAGAAACAACGTGTGCCTATACTCATAATTTTCTGTAAAGTCGTCTTCCCCACTAGAATGGCAAATTGAAGCCAATGAAACATTAAGAATATCTTGAGATCCAGTTGGCAATTAAATGATCTTTTTAGATAATTTTTTTAATTGCAACCCTAATTAAATTCCGCCACAAAATTAAGTCTGGTTTTACTGAATACATAATTGTCAAATAACCAAATTTCCTCTTTCCACATATATTTCTCTAACAAATTTTTCTCCTTCGCTTCTTTACAGATGTCAATGCAAAAATTAACCGATGCCACAAATTCCGGTTATGTTAGCTCAGAAGAAACAGATTCTCTCCTAGTCTCACAAACACCCAAATGCAAGTCGTCGGTATTAAGACAACTCAAAATGAATTCAGCTAATGGACCAACAACGAATAACATGACTTCCACAGCGTCACAGAAGCCCACACTGATGCGACAGGATCGAACTTCCACATATCTGACGAGTCCCCAGCTGTCGCAGCAAACTCGATTGGGTTCGGATGACAGTGATCGCGATGGCAGTGCAAGTTGCCGCGCGGCCGATGAAGATGTTGAACAGGGGCTTCGGACGGCAACAGTGCCTGATATTGAAGTATATCAAGAGGACCAAGATTACAATCAGAATCAATCAAATCAAACACAAAATCATCAACAGCAACAACATCAGTTGTCTTCATCTGCTCCCACAACCTCCATACAAACACAACAACATCAACAACAACAGCAGCATCATCAACAGCCAACAACTAATAAGCTGCAACAACAACCGACCATATCAATAACGAATTTAAATAACTCGTATCCCGACAACAATGCGAGCACCACCACCAACATGGGAACATCCTCATATCAGAATCTCTCATCGAATCCATTGTCTCCGAGTGCCCAAAATCGTTGTCGTGCCTGCAGAAACTGCAGCCGACGTGCCTCAACCACACCTATATCGACCACAGGTCACATGGATCGTTCAACTTCACGTGATAGCGTTAAAAGTGCCTTTCAACAAGGAAATCTGGGTGGTTCCCTGGTCGTGTATGGCGGCTCAAATAATGCCCTGCCGCACAATGTGCCACCTGTACTGGTTACATCGTCGCCAACGAACGGTTCGCGTATCATCCGACAAAGTTCACAGCCAGAATCAAGCACAAGTGGTGTATGTTGTGGAGCCCATAGCACATGTGGTCATTCGCATACTGTGCCGAATGTCTCCCTCAAACAGTTACGCTCAACAGAAACTGATGGTATAGCTGGTATAGCGGCAGATTCGTTGCGAATCAATGGTGGCATGCGGCCATTTAAACAGGTGAGTTTGAATTTTTAAATTGTCTTGTCTCCCTGCGTTAATCTATTTCCCCCTTAAGAAAAAAGTGAATGTGTGAGGTCAGTTATTATCCTGGAAATGTGATCAATGTTCCAAAAAGTTTTAGTGGATGAATGATTGTAAAGTGTGTCTGTCCTATGCTTTTTTATTTTTATTGTGTGTCAAATACTCCGACTATTAACCGAGCACTCCCATCTTCCCATGCAAGAGTAGTGTGTGTGAGAATTTCTTTCAGTTCCCTACCACTTTTCAGATGTAATTTAAAGAAACAAGTATTTTTTTATTGATAAAACATAGAGGGCCCCAAGAGGAAAAAAATCTTAAGAATACCGCCATTAAAGGAATACCTCCTGAAATTAGACCAAGTAACCTTAAAAAGAATACGCCCTAAAGTGGGAAAAATTACTTATCATTGGCTTTAGACTTCAGAACTTCTAACCCCTTCTTTTGGTTATGGAAGACATTTATGTAGAAGAAGTTATACAAATCGTATTTTTTATAAATATACAGAAGACGCTCTGAAGTTTTGTTGTAGGGGTGGATTTTGTTAACGTTTTTAACAAAAGAAATTTGTGGCTCTTATCATGGTTAATAAAAAAACCTTCCATTGAAAAAGCCCTTTAAATGGAACAACAGACAGCACACCATGGAAAGCTCTTTTGTATATACAAAACACCACATGAAGGTTTTTTATAGAAAGCGATCTTCTGCAGACCAGAAGATATTCCATAGGCATTTCCTTTCGAAGCCCTGATCTACACATACAATATAGGCATTATAAAGTTCTTATATGCTTATAAAAGCATTACAAATATTTTGTAGACCATATATGTGTCTTTCCCCGACCGATGACCTTCTGAAGGTCTTCTACCGGCACAAACCCTTCCGAATACCTATTTCAGGCAGAAGACATTGAAGAGAAAATTTCCACGCAATATAATACTTGTAAAGTCCTTAAAAGTTTCCATTAATGAAATACCTCCTATAGCTGCTTTTCAGACCGTTGACCTTCAGAAGGTCTTCCACAGAGAAAGTACATTTCGAAGAAAGAATGTATTTTCCAAACAAAGAAATAAAATGTAAAGGCCTTGATGATGGCGGTATTCTACAGACAGAGGACCATCTGAAGGATATTTTTACAGAGAAGGATATCTTTACAATATGTAAGAATCTTCAATTAACCGAATACACAATAAATGCAAAGTGAGCTATGTTAGGGACCAACTGAAGGATGCATAAAGGCAAAATACTTCCCGAAAATCTTCCATTGACAAAATAACTTCTGAAGTTCCTCCTGTGTAGACAGAATACGTTCTCATGTTTTCTACTGAAAGACATCGAGCAAAATCTCTTTTGAAAAGAGGTGATCTTCCGACGGTCATCAGTGAACAAATGATAATTTTATCTTCTGTGATGCGAAGATATTTCAAAGATTTACTACAGACTGCACCTTTCTTGAATGCCTTATGCATCCTGAGGACCATGTGGCGAACATCCTCTTGGCATAAAAAAAAATATTTAGATATTCTGAAGACCTTATGTAAATCTTTGGAAGCCCTTTGATAGACAGAATATACGGATTACCTCTTGTTTTTATAGATATAAGAAAGCTTTCTTTAGGCGGTGATCGTTGTAAAGATATTTTGTAGAAAGAAAACCGACTGAAGGCCCTACAAAAATCCTCTGCAGACAGAACTCCCGCTGAAGCTCTTCTGCAGGCCTCTTTATATTCTAAAAAGTTTCTAAACAACTTCGAATGCACTTCACTACACAGAAGAACTTTTGAATGCAGTCTAAAAACGAAGACGTCATGTAGGCGAAAGGGCTTCTGAAACCCTTCTATAAAGGAAAGATCTTATACAGAAATATGATCTATTAATGACCTTCTTCAGATTTTCTGCAAACAAAACTCATGCTGAAACTTTTCTGCAGGTCCCTTTATATATTCTGAAAACGGTCTAAAAAACTTAGAATGCACTTCTCTACAGAGAATAAATTGTAAATGCAGTCTAATAAAAATAATCCGTTATATAGGCCGTTGTACTGACATATGACTTATTAATGATCTTCTACAGATTTTCTGTTGTACCAACCGTTATATGTTCTGAAAACCTTTTATAAATCTTCAGATACACTTCTCTAGATGGAAGTTTTCCTGATAGTCTTCTAAAGAAGACCTCCTACACGTCAAATACCTTCAGGGCGACATCCTCCAGACAGAATCTCAAAGCCAAAGTTCTTCAGAAGCAACCCGTTGATGAGCAAAAGATCTGAATGCCTCCTATAAACAGACGACCTATTGTAGACAAAATAGTTTTAAAAGATAAAAAACTTTATATAAACGGTGTCTTAGTTTTGTATAAAAAAATCCTAAAGGTCTTTCAAAAATCTTCTAAAGGCAGAACTCACGCTGAAGCTCTTCTGCAGGCGCCTTTTTATTCTGAAAACTTCCTATACAACTTCGAATGCACTTCACTACACAGAAGAACTTTTGAATTCAGTCTAAAACAAGTGAAAAAGCGTTAAGTTCGGCCGGGCCAAACTTTTGATACCCTCCACCATAGATATACTGACAGGTACTTGGAAAAAGTGGACCTATAGCGACATTTCTAATAACCGATTATGTAAACAATAATTTTTAATAAAAAACTATACCCTCAGCCTTATGGCTAATTAGTGTGTATACACTTCCACACGGTGAACATGTGCCTCATCGAAATATTGGACCCCATGTTTGTTGGGACCAAATCCGTTTCAGAAAAATTTGATTTCAACCCAATTTATTATGTCTTCCAAACCTAGTTCAAATCCGAATTTGGGGAATATCGGTCCATTTCATTTCACCTGCGAAGGATATCGAGATAAAAAGCTATAACGTACGGTTCGATAATGAACTATATGTGATCTATAGCCCGCATTTAGGCTTAGCCGTAGCCCCTGTATTGGAGGTACCAGAAGGCAACGGCTAAGCCTAAATGCGGGCTATAGATCACATATAGTTCATTATCGAACCGTACGTTCTAGGTTTTTATCTCGATATCCTTCGCAGGTGAAATGATTACAACAGAGTGTTAGAACATAATCCAAAACGCGGAAAAATCAGATAATTATATTAATATAAAATATGGGGTTATTTGGGGACTACGCCTAAAAGGGGTTTACTATTAATAATTTTTGGTAGGGAGATTTGTTTCCATATACGGCTACAAAATACCAAATTTCAGTGATTTCGGTTGAAAAACGCGCTCAAGAACCACAAAATACCGAAAATTTGGGGGTAAATTTATATGGGGGCTAACAGAAAAAATGGACTCATATTTATAATTTTTATTGGAGATATTTGGTACCCAATAAGAAGCCAACATACCAAATTTCATCGAATTCATTTGAAAAACGTGCTCAAGTACCCCAAAATACCGAAAATTGGGGGCTACCAGAAAAAATTGACCTATATTTATAATTTTTTACGGAGTGATTTGGAACCTATTTAGAACTCAAAGTACTAAATTACAGCCAATTCGGTGCAAAAATACGACCAAAACCCCCAAAATACTGAAAATTAGGAGGTACCGTTATATGGGGGCTACCAGAAAAAGTGGACCGATATTTATAATTTTTTGTGGCGACATTTAGTACCAAATAAAAACTTGACCTGCCTGCAGACAAAAGACAATTTAGTACCAAATAATAACCCAATGTACCAAATTTCAGTGATTTCGGTTGAAAAACGCGCTCAAGAACCCCAAAATACCGAAAAGTTGGGGGTACCCTTATATGAGAGCTATGCCTAAACGTGGACCGTTATATCCCATCTTCGAACTTGACCTGCCTGCAGACAAAAGACAACCCTATGCAAAATTTCAGCACTCTATCTAAATTATTATGATTACAACAGACGGACAGTCATGGCTATATCGTCTTAGAATTTTACCCTGAACAAGAATATATATACTTTATAGGTTCGGAAATGAATATTTCGGTGAGTTACAAACGGAATGACAAAATTAATATACCCTCCATAGTCTTATGCTGTCATTGATCGCAAGCACACGTGTTCTTTTCTCTGCTCCGTTAACTAGTTTTTTGCCTACGTAATAAACAAAGCCAGTGAAATCACTAATAAAACAAAAGCAACAGCACGTTTTGTTTTCAACTCAGATTGCAAAAAAACAATAACAACTACTCGTGGTACATTGAAATGCACTCACTCAAGCGAAAAAAGTTGTCAGGAAGATCACCAAAAGAAAAATATAAAACGAGTGAAAACCGTTTTAATATACTTCAATCATTTGACAATGAAAACGATGATGATACCTACAGTGAAGAAGAGAATGAAGTACGCGAGTACAAAGTTGTTGTTCCACCAATCGTTGTGGATGCTGTCCATAAGTTCCTAAATGTGTACAATCTGGTCGGCTCATTGTATACATTTAAGAGAATGTCAATCGGTACTAAAATTATTTCACCTTCAATAACTCTCTATGAACAAGCAAAAAATAAACTTATTGAGTCAGGCTTTACTTTCTTCTCTCACGAGTGCAAAGACACCAAAATATTCAAACTGGTTCTCTATGGTCTCCCCCAACTTAATACGAGTGAAATCAAAGACGAACTTAAGAACTCATACAATATAAATGTTGTCAACATCAAAGAAATTAAAACAGCTCGCTCTAATGAAAGTGATGCAATTTATATGCTCGAGTTTGATCGTTCTTTAAATAATAAAGCTGAAGTCCTAAAAATTAAAAGAATTTGTAGGATAAATATTTATTGGAGAAAACCTCTTAAAGGAAATAAAGGTCCCATTCAATGCACAAAATTGAAAAACAACAACCATCGGGCTGACGATCCACGTTGTCCTTGCCGAAAAGAATACCTAGCAATCCGGGAAAATCTCACAAGGCAATATTCTGTCAGAAGACGCCCTGCTCCGTTAACCTGCGATATAGCAGCTAATGAATTTCCACAGCTAAGCAAATCATCTTTTACCTCAAACAAACCCGATCCACTAAGATCGGAAAACACGTACGCCAGAGTAATGGAATTACCAACCCAAAATAGCTCATCAACAGCTGAACTTTTTAACATGGATGAATTATTCCAAATTTTTTCAAAAGCATTATCTGATCTACGAAATTGCAGAACGAAAATTGAACAATTAAATGTTATTATGTCTATGATAAGATATGCAATTTAATCATATACAAAAAAGTCTTAAAGTAATGCACTGGAACTGTCAAGGCATTACTACCTTCGCCCAGTCCGCTGAGCTTCATAATTTTTTAATAGAAAAATCCATCGACATTCTCTTGCTGAACGAAACATTTCTTAAACCAAATCACAGACTTAAAATGCCAGGATACAGAGTGCATAGAAAAGATAGAATATCTCATGGAGGAGGAGTGGCTATTATTATCAAAGCATCACTAAAGCATAATATTGAATCTCCACATCCTACGAAACTGATAGAAAATATATGCGTTACTGTCGAGTTTCTTAACAGAAAAGTCAAATTTATAGCAGCTTACTGTCCCCGGTATTCTCCTGATTTTATTCCTGATCTTGATATAATAACAACATCATCAACGAGCGACTTTTTCATACTAGGCGATTTAAATGCACACCACCCCAGTTGGAACTGCACTAAAACCGATTCTGCTGGATACGCCTTGTTTAATCATCAGAATAATAATAATTACTATATATATTACCCACCTAACCCTACAAGATTTCCTCAAAATCACACTCACAGGCAGGCCTCGACTATTGACCTTCTGCTCTCTAACTCCACACTACACTTTACAGACATAGAAACTTTTCCTCACACGTTATGCTCAGATCATGTACCATTACTTTTTTCTATAAATGAAGAACTTCCCAACACAGAAAAATCATATCTAGATTTTCGTAACGTCAATTGGAATAGTTTTAAAACTCTATTGAATTCAAAAATAATTAATTCCTCACTCCTTAACGAGAATATATCTGTCACAAACATTGAAGAATCGATAAAAGAATTTACGGACACTTTAAAAACCACATGCCTCGACACAATTCCCCTTAGACACAAGAAAAATAAAAACAACAAATTAAATGAATTATGTAAATATCTGATATCCACAAGAAACAAATATAAAAGAAGATTCCAACGCTGTGTAAATCCAATCGACAAAACGTCAATAGGTGCTATCCTTAGGGAGCTAAATAAACTCATTTCCATCAATATAAACAATGAAAGAAATGCACAATGGTCAAATTTTCTGTCTACTTTACCCACAGGCAGTAAAAAATTTTGGAAAATTACAAAAAAGATGAAAGGAATTAACAACTCAATGAAAAATTTAGTGGTAAATGGCAAAGAAGTTTATTCTAACGAAGAGAAGGCCAATTTAATCGCCGACCAATTCGAAAAAGCGCATTTAATTACGTCAAACTCATCAACATCCATTGAAAACAAGGTCAATCATATTTATAGTCTCTTGGAATCAGACACTTCATCAAATAGCAATGATCAGCCTTTGACATCTCTAAACGAAATAAAGAATCTGATTGTATCCCTTAAAAACTCAAAAGCACCTGGAATAGATCAAATTAACAATATGGTGTTAAAAAATATACCTGTTTCTGCCCTAAATTACTTATTAAGAGTATACAACTTTTGCATAATCAATTCATACTTTCCGAGTGCTTTTAAATTGGCCAAAGTTATACCGATCCCAAAAAAGGGCAAAGATGACAGACTTCCTTCCAATTACAGACCAATTAGCCTATTAAGTTCCATAGGTAAAATTTTTGAGAAAATAATTTTTCGCCGATTACAAACTTTTGTAGAAGACAACAATTTGATCCATAGGCATCAATTTGGTTTCAGACCTCAACATTCTACCACTCATCAAATCAAGAGATTAGTCAATATTATAACATCGAATAAAAACCGACGGTTTTCTACTGGTATTATTTTCCTTGATGTCGAAAAAGCCTTTGACTCTATTTGGCACAAAGGCCTAATTTTTAAACTTCATAAAATGGATATTCCCTTATATCTGATAAAATTAATTAAAAGTTTTCTTAGTGAAAGAATGTTTGTTGTCGATGTTCTAGGAAGCCTATCTTCTTTACGTAATATTCCTGCTGGTGTCCCTCAGGGTTCAGTACTTTCACCTCTGCTGTATTCGCTGTACATCTCCGATTTCAAAACTTCCAAAATCAACGAAGTAGCTTTTTATGCAGATGACAGCGCTATCATCTGCCAAGGAAAACTTTCAAACACAATCGTGAAAAGAATTCAGAAAGCTTCTGCACTAGCCTCTAAATATTTTTCTAAATGGAAAATAAAAATCAATGAAGAAAAATCTCAAGCCATTATATTTCCTTACAATAAGTCGCCCAAAAGAATCCCTTCTATAAAACTTAAGGTAAATGGTAAGGAACTAGTTTTTTCAAAATCCGTTAAATATTTAGGCGTTATTCTAGATGAAAAGTTAACCTTTAAAGAACATATAGAAGACGCATGTCATAAGGCTATAAGATGTGGCAGATCTTTATATCCCATACTAAATAAAAAATCAAAATTAAATTTAAAAAATAAACTACTATTATACAAAATGTGTCTAAGGCCTATTCTAACGTATGGCTGCCAAATTTGGTATAACTGCGCCAAATCGCATCTGAAAAAATTACAAATTATACAAAATAAGAATCTGAAGATAATTTACAATCTTCCAAGACGGTATCCTACAATTCAACTTCACACTAGGGCTCAGATTAAAATGATCAATAATATCATAAAGGACATGGCGCTGTCATTTGAAGAAAAATGCAGAAGGTCAACATATGCCGACCTGAGAGGTTTGATTTGATAACACCTAATATTAGCTATATTATCAAGTATAGCTATGATTAGATGTTATCTTAAAGCTTTTCATTAACTATTTGTGATATTAAATTGTAGGTTTTTTACTATCTTTTTCCTATTAAATAGAACTTTTTAAAATGTATTTAGTTATTACAAGTATGTTAAAATTTGTTGAAATATCTTTAAGGTAGAAACTCAAAATATTGTATATAAAACCAATGTACCTTTGATAGAAAATAAATAAATAAATAAATAAAAAAATATACCCTCCATACTATGGTGGAGGGTATAAAAACGATCCTCCAGACTGAATAATTGCTGAAGGCTTTCTCTAAGCCACATGCCACCTTCAATAGTCAGACCGATGACAATATATGTGTGAAAGGGTCCGATTTATTAAGGGTTATCTTAAAGTATTTCAAAGCTGTAAGACTCTCTAACTTTCGTATAAAGTTTTTGAACTTAAGCCTCTTATCCGATCTTTGTATTATATTATACTATCATTAGGATTTGAATATTCTTAAATTACATCTGAAATTGGGGAATGTTAGTTAAATAAAACACTGGTCTACATATGATATCAAAGGAGTCTACATATGATAAAAATTTTGTAATATTGGAGACCAGTAAAATGTATTTTAAAAATGTTCCTACATCCCAAATTGCGTTTTGTTTACGACACTTACACAGGATTTCATATATTTCATTTTTCTTTTACACCTTACAACCACAATATGCTATACCAAATCTTCCCATGTACAACAGCAAATATGTGTATTTGAAACATCCCTTAAATTGTCTCAAATTACTATAATTATTGTCCTCAAACTTTTTCTCAAAAACAAAAAAAATAAAAACATTACACAAAATTACCTCAATAGCACAAAGTTTTACAGGAAACACCAACAGTACTTGTTAATACCTTGGCCATTAGCATGTAAATTATCTCTTGTAACAAACGAAAAACTTTATTATTATTATTTACAACACAAATTGGCCCCAATCCCTTTTTGTTATACTCTAGCAATTCATTAAATGGCTTTTCACAACACAAAACTTTAATAACATTACTAATATTACTTACTAAAACTTTAACTCTCTTGCTAACATTTAACAACAATAGCAAACACATTTAACTACTACTCTACTACTACCAATACCAGTACTAAAAGATATACATATATTTCCTTTAGGGTGTCCTACTAATGCCTCGTACATTGTCCGAAAGCCGAAAATTGCGACTTAGAAGAGCTTTTACTGAGGCCACACATGAATCACTGCAATGCTCGAAAATGGTATTTAAATTTTGTTGAACAAATCTTAACAAATCCACCCAAAACCCACAAAGTTAAACTCCCCTCCAGTCCATAAATGAATGAAACACAATATGCCCCCCATTCCTCAACAAAAGAGTTTAATTGCAACTTCTCCCGTCCATTGTTTAAAAGCTTTTAGATGCAAAATGCACTGTTGATGACCTCCTTCACTCCAAAAATTAGACCTGCAATTCACAATGTTAAGAAAAAATTATTTTAAACTTGATTTTATTTGAAAAAAAAAATATTAAATTTTTATTTAAAAAAAAATTAGGCAAATGAAATTATTTGGTTGCCCATTCACTCCAAAATAATAATCCAACAATTAACAATATTTCAGAAAAAAACTTGTTCCAATTTAAAAATTTTATTTATTATTGCTTTATTAGAAAAATAAATCTTATTACCTTGCAGCTGCTTCTAGTTATATGAATGTCTATTTTTATGGCAATGAAATTTTTTTTTAAATATAAAATTAAATTTAAAACGTAGTTATGTAAAGATATGACAAATATTTTCTAAGTAAACGTTTGCCACCGTTATGGATTTGAAATACATTGGTGTCGTAGAATATTGCAACACTACGTAATTAACAACTTCGCATATTGTTCTATTATGTTGGTCCACATGTTTTCTGATGCATACTGTATGGGGTCTCCGACGAATCTTTTGAAATGATAAATTTAATATGCACTCCGAATATTGCATTGAAGGTATGTTAATTGTTGAGAATCGCCTATGATTCATATATAGAGATCCCACATATTGGACTATAACCTAAATTATATTATATATAATACGGTGTTATGAACATAATTCAATGCTCGATTTGCTCTGTCCGGATACTTACAAGTTGACGTTTTATTTCAAATTATCTACGTATAAGACCACAATACCTCCTGCGGGTAGAAAATATGTAGGTAGACGACATATTGTCTACCTGGAGGAGGTATTCTATAAATAATATCCAACCGTTAGGAACTTCAAAAGGTCTACTGATATGCGTACAATGCATTTTGTTAGATCTTTAGAGTAACTCCGCAAAAGAATAAGTTTCATAGATTAATTTAATACAATCATTTTCGACGCCAGTCTCTCGTTCGCTATTCTTCTGGTACATTGAAAGGAACAAAAGGAACTAAAAAACCAGTAAGGAAATTACATATGGAAGCTATGGTTGCATCTGCACCAACTTCAACAAAACGCAATAACATCATTAAAATCCCAATTTGATACATTGTTCAAAAATTCGTGTTAATCGGCGAACATAGGAGTTCGGAGAGCCATTTATGAAAAAACAGAGGAATATATATATGAATACGTGGGATCTACATAGAAATCTGAACCGATCTAAAACTTACCACACATCATTCTCGACACAATTTAGTACGCTATGACGAATTTGTGCAAATCCAAGGATATATAAGGACTTAGGTGCACTATTTATATAAAATCGGACGAATATATATATGGGAGCTATATCTAAACTTGAACCGATTTTCACGAAACTTAATACATATCATTCTAGGCACAATTCAGTATGCTATGCCAAATTTCGTGCAAATCGAAGGCTATATATTACTGTGGTCCACTATTTACAAAAAACCGGGCGAAAATCTGATCTAAATCTAAACCGATTTTCACGAAATTTAACACACATCTTTCTAGACGTAATTCCGTACGCTGTGCCAAATTTCGTGCAAATCGAAGGATATATAGGGTCTTTTGTGTACCATTCACCTAAAATCGAACGAAAATATATATAGGAGATATATCTAAATCTAAACCGATTTTCACGAAATTTAACACACATCTTTCTAGACGTAATTCCGTACGCTATGCCAAATTTCGTGCAAATCGAAAATATAGGGACTTTGGTGCACCATTTATGTAAAATAGGACGAAAATATATATTTGAACCGATATATTTAAATCTGTACCGATTTTCCCGAAACTTACCACTCATCATTCTAGAATCAATTCATTACGCTATGTTAAATTTCGTGCAAATCGAAGTATATATAGGGACTTTGGTACACTATTTACCTAAAATCGGACGAAAATATATATGAGAGCTATATCTAAATCTGAACCGATCGCCAAGAATTTTAACACACGTCTTTCTAGGCTTATTTCAGTTCTTTACGCCAAATTTCGTGCAAATCGAAGGATATATAAGGACTTTAGTGCACTATTTACCTTAAATCGGACGAAAATATATATGGGAGCTATATCTAAATCTGAACCGATTTTTCCCAAACACGCCTCTCATGGCATAGACCTTAAAAAATATTTTTAAAAAATCCAAAAAAAATATTTAAAAAAATCCACGCTTGGTATAGACTTAAAAAATATTTTTAAAAAATCAACGCCTGGCATAGACCTAAAGAACCAGTAAGGAAAGGTCAAAAGTCGGATGGAGCCGACTATATGGTACCCTTCACCATTTTGGGTACCAATCTCAAATTTATGAAAGATTTAATGTCTATCACCGAGCAAAATATGTAAAAGATCTATATACAAATGGACACTTTGCGCTATATATGCCAAAATTTATCTCAACACAAAATACAATACAAAACTTGACATGCATCAATCTAACCTAATTTAGTACTCTGTGCAAAATTTTGTCTCAATCGGACAAACCACCATACTGTAGATGATATAGATGGGAGCTATATCTAAATCTGAACAGATTTCAACAAAACGTCGCATACATAAATTTGGAACTATTTCAGTACGCTGTGCAAAATTTCGTGTCAATCGGCTTTGGCTCTTTGGTGCTCCATTTACATAAAATCGGATGAAAATATATGGGAGCTATATCTAAATCTAAACCGATTCCAACAAAACTTGACATCAATCTGGGCCTAATTCAATACTCTGTGAAAAAATTGGTTTAATCGAACAAATATTGGCATTTACATAAAATCGGACAAAACTCTATATGGGAGCTATATATAAATCTGAACCGATTTCAACAAAACTTATTATGTATCAATCTAGACCTAATTCAGTACTCTGTGCAAAATTATGTCTCAATCGGACAAATATTGTGAGTTTGGCGCACCGTTTACCTAAAATCGGTCAAAACTATATATGGGAGCTATATCTAAATCTGAACCGATTTTCTCCAATTTATGATCATAAAGCCGACCTATACTTTGTTCACAAAAATACATGGACCGACGGACATGCGTAAATCTTCTCAGAAAGTGAATATTTTCAAAAGGAACCATGGATCTACCTCGATTCCTTTTGCCTGGCATAGACCTCCAAAAATATTTGGTCTTGGAAAAGATTAAATTTATGGAAAATAATAATAAATATTGGTTTCGTAACCAAATAGACAAATTTTACAAAAATATTAAAACTTCCTATACGTCAATATATATTCACCCATTACAGCATTACATAATCCACTTTTATTGGTGTACAAAGATATAATTCAGGCTGCAAAAGACAGAAGGACCAAAGGACACCCATAAATATCTTCTATTTATAGAACTCGTTCATTTGAACTAGTTCTTACTGGAACGACATCACAATACTACTCTCTACAGTGTTGCATTGCATTCCTTATATGGGGGATAAACGATATTACAAATCCATAATAAGTGTGTATTTATACTTGGAAAATAGTTATCACATTTTGAAAAGCCACACGACGTTTAATGGTTGCTTTTTTCTTGCTATTAATTTTGGTCATTTATATTCCGATTTATTTTAATTAAAAGAAGACCACTGAATAATCTATGATAAAATGCTATAATTAAGTCTTGCCAAAAAATTATAAAAAAAGAATATTTCTTATAGCATGCATTACTATTTAAAACGCTTATTAAGATATGTATATGAAAGCTTATTTTTTATTAAATATAATTTAAGGAATAAACATTTTTTCCATAATAATTATTATGCTATACAAATAATTTAGAATATCAAATTAAAGGAAGTAAGTGTATTAATTTACATATTCTAAACATTTATCGACTTGAACTAATTTTATAATAACTGCAGAACTATTTCAAACAAACATATTATTATGAGTTTTACTGTGACCTACCCACAGTAATAGAACAAATCGTCATTATGTGGTAAATAACTCTACCGTATACTTGTCGTTATGTCAAGTTTTTTTCCACGAAAGCTCCTAAAACCACATTTAAAAAGCCAATACTGTTAATTAAAATAATAGCTTTTTTATTGACAGCTGGTGTTTATTTTACTATTGGTCCAAGAGTTTGGATTTTTTCACTTTATCCGCCATTGTGTGTGTGTTATTGTGGGGATTAAAATAGCCCACAAAAAAAAGCTTTTATTATTGTTTATAGTTTTATTTATTTATTATTTAGTTTTGCTATTCGATGGTAGATGACGCTATAAGCCAACAAAGTAAGACAATACGAATGAATAACACAAATAACAACAAACCAAGGCTAATATTCAATTTGGGAAAAAAGCTACAAAGCATGAAAAAGCTTTTTGTTATTTATATGCCGTTATATATGCATGAATAATTCAATCATTTCCACGGGCAGTGCTGCCAGTTAAATTCCATGAAAAATCGTAAATTTTTCAGAAAAAAATCGGCATAATCGGCATTTGTATTTTTAAAAATCGGCAGAATATAATTTATAAATAAATTCATATTTTTATTCATAAGATAACAAATTCAATTCTGTATAAAAAATAACATAAAAGATTCATTTTTTCTACAAAAAATGTAGATTTTTCTAAAATATAGTAATTATTATGTACACTATGACAATATAATAACACAGTGTGGTATTAAGGTCATAAAATAACTTACAAACTAGTACATATTTTTATTACACATTTTTAGTAATTCATTATCAATTTTGATATTAAAACAATTTGAATTATTTAGTTTGAGGTAATCTTTAGAATAAAGAATCCCTTCCAATGAATCATTCTCAAGTAGCTTCTAATTTTAGTTTTGTTAAGGTTTACCTGACTAAAAATTCGTATTAACATTTGCT